AAATCGTTAAATAGGTTAGGTTTGTCATCTGGTGTGACGACCAAATTACCTAGCATGTCTTGCAGGGGCCCCACGTTACCTGGAACCTTCTTTTTGCCCCCTATGTATTTAAAAAAGGACTTCTTATTGTCCTTAATCCGGGAAGCTAGTTCCAGTTCCATCTCTGCCTTGGCCTTCCTGACTGCCCCCCTGCATCCTCGAGCAACCGCAGTATAGTCCTCCCTGGTGATGGCCCCTCCCTTCCATTGGGTGTATGACTCCCCTTTAGCCAGAAGACTTTCTCAGATAATTTTGGTGAGCCACGAGGGCTTTTGCACCCTCCTGCCCCCTTTGATCCATGTTGGGATTACTTCCCTTTGGGCTTGGAGGATCGTCTCCTTAAAGCATGAGCACTCTTCTTGGACACCTGGCTCCCCTCCCCTCTGCGACCTCAGTGCTTCCCCCACTATTCTTCCTGTCCTCTACTGAAGTTTTCAGGAAAGTTAAAATCCTCAGCTGAAAGAGCATGTTTAAATAGGCAACAAGACTTGAACTTGTCTACTGTAAAATATTTGCTAATACTACACTGAAACTAGTTAATTTACTAATTAATTAAAATACTATAGTAACAAATTTCATTTTTTAATGTTAAAGATAGTAACAAAGACCCAGGCTCTTATAACTTCATATAAGCTTTCCCCTTATATTTTAACAGAGAAACTGTTGGAGAAGGGCAAAAAACCAACGAAGTCAATCTGGTGGTGGCGTGGTGCTTTTTATTCTGGGCTTCTAAGTATTATATCCAAACAAAAAAGGAGAAAAATAAAATAAAATCTCTTATTTCTGCAGGAAAGCATTCATTTGTGCTTTGTCCTGTTACGTGTTTCATTCCTGCATACTTTTTTATAGTTAGAAATCCATATACATTAGTAGAGGTGCACCGATACATTGGTCCCATATCGAATCAGCACCAACATAAGGAAAATTGACTGTATTGGCAATTGGCTTTTTTTGCCTGATGTAGCTGATAAATGCTGCATGTGTACCTTCAGCCGCACCACAGCACAGCACACAGGCAGCCAGGTCCAGTTGGTAAGCGTGTTGTTGAGGAAGGGGTGTGGGGAGGACAGATAGAGGCCCCCTTGCCCTTCACACAAATCTCGAGACACATGCTCCCCCATGTTGTGTGCAGCGGCAGGGGTCTTCCCTCCCTCCCTGCGCCCCCTGGACAAGCCACTTGCAGCTTCATTCCATGCCCCGCACTGGCTGGGCAGCCCCTGCCCCACTCCCTTCCTCACCAACAGGGCCTCTATCTGCCATCCCCACGTCCCTTCCCTCCCACTCCCTTTCCCCACAACAGACGTACCAGCTGGACCCAGCTGCTCTCAACACTGTCCACCTGCATATCAACAATTGGATTGGTATTGGCCAATACAGCTCGTTAAAAGTCAGCCATCGGTATCAGCCTAAAAAATCTCTATCGGTGCACCCCTTTACTTTAGTCATAGTAAATCTACTGCCACTATTTTGATGTTAATAAAACAACTTAAATAATACACAATGATTTATGCACTGAGAGCAGGGCATGTCAAAATATAAATTTCTGCCTAGAAAAGGACTTAAGAGCATGAGTTGCAATCTATATTGGATGAGCAGGGATCCTGGTTTTCTCTAACTTTTTTTTTAATCCCCAATTTTCAGATTTAAAAAGGTAACCTAAGATCCACATTTTTTCATGATTAAAATGAAGCGCCACTTATATAAATATTCCATTTCGATCAAAGAAAAATGTGGATTTGGGGTTACTTTTTTTTAATCTGAAAATTGGGGTGGGGGGAGGGTTTATCAGCAAAAAACAGGATTCCTGATGACGACTCAGAAACCTCCCAACAGATGGGTTTTAAGATAGGGAAATAGGAGTGTCCTAACAAGGACACTATTCTTGCATGAAAGTTCAAAAGAAGGCGGCACATATTCAGAAATGTACTAGAACGTTTGGCAGAGATGCCAGAGAGGCAACCTAGAAGAGCTAAGCAGGAATTGCCTATCAGTCTAGGCCAAGGCTTTAAGAGAATGAGTTGAGGTTCTTGAACAAATGGCCCGACTTTTTCAAAAGTGCAGAACACCTCCTAGATTTCATTTGATTCCAATGGGTGTTCAGCAGTTGTTGAGCAAACACTTATTTAGGAGTTTAACATTAGGCACTTGTTGAAATATTGGTACCTGTAATGCCCAGTAACTTAACTGAAGTCCTAAACCAGCAATTACCCATTTGTTTTAGCTTATTCCTGCCTTGTCTCCATCTTCTTTGTTATACACAGTAGCAGTAGATGGATCAGGGTAATTGTCTAAAACCTCATCAGAGCTTCCAGGTGTTTCGCTTGCCAGGCTTTTTTTTTCTTCTGGTTTGTCTTCATTTGTTGAATGTACTGGAACTTCTTTAACTTCCTCTGCTGGTGAAGTTACTACTTTTTCCAGGGATTCCACCAGCTCGTCCCTTAATTCATCCTCTGATTCTTCAAAGTTACTACATTTATAGGAACAGAAACACTGATATCAGCTACCTATATCCTTGCCACATGCTGTTCTAGTTTCTGAGGCCACATGGTTTTCATTTAAATTGTTTTGTGAGAAGGATAAAAGCTGGGTCTGAGATTTAAGCGTTTCCCTGTCCTTGTGCCACTGTTAGATTAAGCCCCACTACTCTTACTTGTAAAGCATTGTGGCTGCTTACAGATGTGGGGAAAAAAATCCCAGTGTTTTACTTGCAGCTCAGTGTACCTCCACGCTGAGTGCAGAACATGCCCAGAAGAGGCATCATATTAGTTTTACCTGGATCACTCAACATCTGTATATATCACATGCTTAAATGGGGCTTTTTTGCACTTCTATCTATTAGAAGATTGAATCAGCTTTAGATCTATACAGATGCTGGGGAGATGGGTCAAGCTAACATGCTGCCTCTTTTAATAAAGTGTTAGGGGGAGGGGGATTCATGTCTGTCAACGCCCTGGGAGTCAATCAGCCTGTATTATATCACTTTTGTATTAGTATTTTTGTTTACTAATAGTGTAAAAGACAGCAGGAGTGGCAGGTTTTCACAAATAAATTAAACTACAGAATTAAAAAGCAACATTGACAAGTTTAAAAATACAGGGTGTTAGCTAAGAAGAGTCTCTGTTTACTTTCATGTTATAAGGGACAAGGGCAAAGGCTGCCTGTGAGACAGATTCTCATAAAAGAAGGAAACTACATTTGATACAATTATTTTCTATGCTGGAATAACATGACTGAAGGCACCTTATCAATGTCACTAACTTACGTGTCATCATCATCTGATCTTGGCTGCAGTCTGTCTTCATCAACATCAATAGAAGAGCCTGTTTCTGAGTTATCTTCCTTATCCTCCTTTGGCAACCAAGGTGTTAATAGTCTTTCTAGAGAGGAAGGAGAAACTGTACCTGTATATGTAGGTGAATTATAGCTAATACAGAAAATCTTGAAAATAATTTCTTTAAAACATAATGTACTTCATTGATTGCCACTCCTCCTGTTCACAGAAAAATGTAAATATCAGTAGCCGCATCTACACATGAGCTTTAACATGCATTAGGCTTTTTTAATTCACATTAAAGTGTCACAAAAAATGGTGCTCTTTAGCTATAGCACATCAAAATAAATAAATGCACATTTTTCTAGTACCTCACAATGGAGATACTAGCTTTAATGTGCATTATCAAAAGCACATTAATTGAACATGTAGACATGCCCAGTAACTCACTGACTATGTATATTCTTCTTTACCAAACTATATGTTTGAAAGTAGAAGGGAACAGAAATCTGAAAGTTAAGTAGATACTGAAATATGAAAAAGCTGCTTGCTCTAGTGTTATTTAGAGCAGGGGTTGTCAACTGGGGGTACACATACCCCTAGGGGTATTTGGAAAGGTGACGGGGTACACGCAGGCAGATGGGGATGGAGTGGGGGCGGCGTGAGGGCAGCAGCACCCCTCCGCAAACAGATGTGGGGCTGGAGTGCTCACACGTGGTGATTGCCACCCACCACCCTGCACTGCCACCTCCCAGGAGCAGGGCTAGGCGGGGCGAGAGCAGCGGTATCCCTCTGCAGCCCACAAAGGCGCCACTCAGCCAGCGGCTCTGCGCGTTGCTAATGGGAGGTGCACGATTGGCCGTGCACAAGGCCCATCAGCAGCCCACAGAGCCGCACATGCAACCAGCTGTGGGAAAGCTGGGTACAGCAGTAGGTGGCAGCTGCCACGTGCAAGGAACATCCTGCATCCAGCTGCCACCAGAAGGGGTACACTTGTTAAAAAAGGTTGAAACCCCCTGATTCAGAGACCTGATTCCAAATGATTTGATGGAAGTTAACCTGATCATTTGAGTAAGTCAAGTGTAAGCAGGCTGGAAGAAAAAAAGTCCTAAGAGTATGCTCAAAATATTGTTCTAGCTGGTTTAAATTGATAAATTGGGTATGGTTGTTATCCTATGAGCATTAGTTTCAGGGCCTGCCTAGTTTCAGTAGTCAGGTCTTATACTTCTAAGATACTTAAACCAAACTATAGTTAGGGAGTCACATTATTGTAGGACGGGGTTGCTCCAACAAATCAAAGTTCTTTGGTTATTTAACTGAATGAATTTTTCTTATAATCTATTTAAAATGCTGGGTTTTGACATTTACAGTTGTGCATGCAAAACTTACTTATTTTCAACTGCCCTAGTTAAAGTATTTTTACAAAAGCATTACTTTGAATAGGAGTTCGTATTTTAGTCACCCTTTAAAATGCATGTTGTCAAAATTTAGATATTTTAAAATGTTATTATGATTTTTTTAAGTAGTGCATCACAATGCTGCTATATGTATTATTAAGGGTTTAAATCTGATGTCAGAAATCTGTGATACAGCATGGTAGGGGCCTAAAGTCAGCTGTTGTTATGCTACAAAAAATATACAGCAATTTATATTAGCATATGGAAAAAACAGGTTTCTGTTTGTAATGTAGATCAAATTTTCTCAAAACTGGAAAATACTTTGATAAAACATTGATTGCCAGAGATCATTATTTTTAGAATACTAGGGGCTGCATTTCCCAGCATGACCAGTCCTTATCCCATAATTAAGAAAATCTGCCAAGTGTATCAAATCAATTCCTTTCCATTCAGCTATACTGGTTTTGTGAAGACTGTATTTCATCTGCCATTGAATGTTTTCACCTGGTGTTCTGAAGTTTTATCTCTAAAAAACTATTCATCTACTAAAAGTTGAAAGAAAGGAAGTCAATTATAACACACTGGCCAGTCAACCCCTCCCTCCCCACCAAGAACCCCCCAAAACCCCAGGTTATCTATGGCTGCAATTCAGTTAGCAATATATTCCATCTCTAGCTTGAATGTTAGTACAAGTAAGACTGTGATTATGAGCTTTGCTCCCATCTCAGTTGGCTTCAGCAGTTATGAAAATGGCAGCTAGAATCTTGATTGCATCAAGGAACAGTTCTATTCTATTTTTGTTGTGGTTGGCAGAGGGACTGAATGGCAGTGAAATCTTTCTATTGGTTTTCTGAGGTATCAAAGGCAACTGTGGCTGACTTCTTAAGCAAGGGGTCCACTTCTTTTCCTTTCTTGTCTTGTGTCCTTGCTGTGACAAGGTACTTAGCAGATTCATTGGAATCTGTCAGAGCTGTGCTGTGAGCACTTCTGCTTTGCCTAGAACTTGAGACGAATTGCAATTTGCTCAGCAAGAATATGAAGCCAACCATTTTAACTGCCCCTCCATTGCGAAGCTCCTCCACGTTCTGCTTGCATGACCCTAAGTAACCATCAGAAACCTTGAATTTGAGGTCTTTTCTCATTGCCTTGAAGAAAATGTAGGGCTCTAAGTGACCTGCTACATCCTCTAAAGGAAGCCCTAAGAAAAAGATTCATATTCAAAGATGAGGTGGGAGATGTAGAACTATCATGGCTTCATGAACAGCCCAAGTCACCTTTTCACCTAGAGTGAGAGACTTAATGAAATATGGACAGATGTTAATCAACAAGCAGGAAGACTATGTAGATCCAGCGATCAGTGACAACAGGCTACACTGAAATATATTTCAGCATGACACCAATTTTTTTGGGGGGAGGGGGAGGGTTTAATTTTTGACTGACTGTTATATCATTCCAGCTGATTAAAAGTTTGTGTTCAGTTCACAAGTCACCTGTCACATGGATAATGTACCAAAGAAAAATTCTTTATGGATATGCTGAAAGTCTTACGCACATCATTATGACATAATTAGCGTATATTTATCATTCTTTTTTTTTTTTTTTTTTTTAGAAAATTCTTAGGACAATTCCTCTAATTCACAAAGCAAATGTTTACCAAATTCCCCTTCAGTCCGGATAAAGGAGTCCTCAGACAGCTCTGCTGCTGCTAATATATTCAGTAGAGTCCCTGGTGCTTCTTGATTCCATTGCTTCCTGCTTTCTGGGGTTTCTTCAGGCATGACAATAATCTGTCCAGCTTGAAATAGGAGATACTGAAGGTCATTGTATGCAGTAAGCCATGACTGATCTGGCATCATCATTCTGTCTGCCAGTCTCAACACTTCTTTCATTTTTATATGGGAGTATATAATTTCCTTGGCTCTCAGTAACTTCAAGTCATTTTCCTTCTGAGATTTTTCCTTTTTAAGGATTGTTTGTTTGTCTGAAGTATTTGATCAGACTGATACTGTAAGGAATGCCTACTTTTCTGCTTTAGGGTTTTCACAAAGCTCTAATGAAGCAGGAGTGCATGCATGCCACAGCCCTTCCCAGGACAGCTGTGCAGCATGCACATGGAGCAGTTTTATGTAGAGATAGCACTGCTCAGTTTAGAAGCAGTGCTGTCCCCTCTGGACCCAAACCTGAAGGTGGGAGGGGAGGGGGCAGTCAATCCTAGCAGCAGAAAGGGGCAGTGGTGGCCCCCCAAGCCTCAATCCTAGCATGGGAAGGGGTGGCTCCAGGCCCCCAGAAACCAATCTGGGTGGGGAAGGACAGTGCTGGGCCCCTGGGACCCAATTCCAGCAGGAGGGGTGGTGCTGGGCACCCTGGACCTAATCCTGGTGATAGGAGATAGCACTGGGCTGCCAGGAACCAACCCCAGCATGCAAGAAGTTGGAGGTGGCAGTTCCAGGCCCCCAGGACTGATCTGGCCTGCAGGGCCACTGCTCTAGACAACTACAGATTAACAGGCTCTAATGGAAATCTGGTATGAATTTGCCTTGGTTAAGGGAATGGTAGGTATGAGGCAAGTCTTTGAAATGTGAAGCTTGGAGGTAAAGGAAGAGGAAAATCGTTAAGGCTCTGATAGAAGCAGCCTTTCCAGGAAAACATGTACGCCTTGGTTTTTTTAGCTGGGCCTAATCTCAACAGCCAGTGGTGCCCACGGAGTTTTCACTCACAAGTACGAGTAACTGGAGCCCAAAACTTCGTTCACTTAGAAACTGCTTTCAGTTGTACCTGAACTAATGGAGGCACTGCAAAAATTCAACCTATCGGGACCCATTCTGGCATTAGCAGCAGCAGTCCCAGATATTTAGCCAATTCAGAGAATGCAGAGACTTGGCATTGTGAGATAACTGGTGTCAGAAGCACCTTCAGGAAGGCCTCTTTACAGCATATTAGTGCAGACAAGACCACCTCACTCCATTTCAGGGGACTCTTTATCATAGAAACCCCTTGATCTTTATATGCCAGGAACACCAGGCCTAAGTCTGGTTTCTTTCGAGCACATTTTCAAAGTAGAGGAAGACACCTTCTGGCCCTCTTTCCCAGCTTTGTACACGTATGTAGAGCAAGCCCCAATCTTTTTCATGATTGCAGCATTAGTTAAATATTGGTAAGAGATGTGAAATGCTTTTGGGTTTCTTTGTGAGAGGCACAAAACGCTTGACACATTAACATGAATGGAAGATTATTGTATCCTTTGATTTAAGACATGATAACTTCAGTTATTCCAATCAAACATGTCAGATCCAAGGCACGGTTTACTGTGGAACTCCCAAATCAAGCACCATCCTAAGTGCCCATAACCCATTGACAATTTAGTTGGTGTTTGTATTCATGTAGTAAGCAATAAGAATAAGTTCATACCAAGTTCATCTCCTTCCATTGTAGGGCAGACAGATGTGACATCAGCATCAGCTAAAAAATTCAGAACAGTCTGTGGGGCTTCAGCTTGCCATTGTTTTCTGTTTTCCAGGAAATTATCTACCACATCAGCATCTAAGGGAAAATGTAGCACAGTGATTCTCAACTGGGGTTCTATGGCACACTGTGAGATCCCTTGAGGGGTTCTGCAGCACCTAGCTAGTGTGTAAGGAGTAAAGCACTCTCCTCCCCACACCATTAGCTCCCCATCCCTGCTGCAGTATGCTGCAAACCAGTGGTGTTTCTAGCTGCTCCTCTGCGAAGTGCTGCTGCTACTGCCCTCCAACCTGCAGCACATCTGCACTGCCAGCTGTCACATTCTGAGCAGCATGCTCTGCTGCAGGCAGACCATGCTTTTCAGCTCAACTCAACTCAACTCAACCTCCCACCTCCCCCGAGTCACAGGGGCCACCCTGGCCCCCTCACGAATGGGCCTAGAGTGGGAAGTGGTGGCAGATGTTGAAAGGAGCAGGGCACAGCTGGGTGAGCTCCTACCCCACCACCCTCCTATGGCACCAGCTAGATCAGTTTTGTAACATGTTTAGCCTCAAGGCTGCCCTTCGTAGCTTCTGAATTCAAATGCTAGCTCACTGAATCTCAACCAGCACCTCAGAGAAGTTACAGAGGGCTGCTTTGAAGTAAGAAGGTTAGAACCGTGGCTGTACCAGGTACAGAGCTAGGACCCCCTGAGCTTGATGGCCCTGGGCAGTCAAGTTTACCTGTTGTGCACTCTAGCCTTTCTACTATCTCCCCCTTTATCCTGGCTGCCATGCCTTTGATACAACGTTTTATCACAATTTGGGAGGCTGTGCTCCATCACTGCAGTAGCACTTAGGTGTTTATTTCCATTCCTCTCATCATAGGGCTGCCATTCTAGCCCAATACACATTTGTCCTAGCAAACCCCATCAACAGCCGCATGCTGGCCTCCCAGGTCCACTTTCTCTCTTAAGGCCTAATCAGGACTCTCTCTCTGGCAGTCTTCCCCCTTTCAAGCATCAGCTGCCTCTCTTAGAAACTTAATCTGTAATGTGCTTAGTTCAGTCTTGGCTTTCCACTCCTCTCTACAGTAAGTGTGGCTCAGACTGGCCTTTCCCCTGGGTATGCTTGCCTACCCATTGCTCTATACAGCAGATGTGCTTGCTCTCCCTCTGCCTATCCCAGGCAGGCTACCCCATCACCAAGGATCCTGGTTTTCTCTGATAAAAAAGAATCCCCAATTTTCGGTTTAAAAAAAGTAACCCAAAATCCACATTTTCCATGATTAAAATAAAACACCACTATATAGCAAAAGCTTTATTATCCGGCACCCATGAGAAATGGGGGGTGCCGGATAACCAAATATGCTGGTTACCTGAGAGGCCCGAACAGGCATTTTTGCCTGTTTGAGCTGCTGCCTCTGGTGCACCGCCACCCCTCCACCATGTCGCTGCCCCTCCCACTGCATCAGTGTGCCGGGGTATAGGGAGGAGGGCCCCACGCAGGCTGCTATGCCCTGGACCATGGGGGCTCAGCAGAGCAGGTTGCTTTGTCTCAGGCCGCGGGGGCTCGGCGAAACCAGAAGTGCCACAGTGGGTGCTTCTAGTTTTGCTTTTACCTTATGAACTGGCATGCCGGTTAATAGAGCATGCCTGGTTTGTAAAGTGTCAAATAACATCATTAGTAGTGTTTAATTTCATTAAAATGAAACATCACTATATATAGGTATCTGGAAAAATGGATATAGATCATGGAAAAATGTGGATTTGGGGTCACTTTTTTTAAACTGAAAAAATTGGGGATTTTTTTTTAAATCAGAGAAAACCAGGATCCCTGCCCATCACTCATTGAGCATGTCTACACAAGCTGTTTACTGACTAATTTGCTTCTCAGTAAAGTCTTAGCATCTACACATTCAGCCCTAGTAAGCCACAATAAATGAATAAATGCAGCCATAGGGTAGTATTTGTCAACATAAGTACTGTTCTACAGCAGTGTTATTTAGTGCACTGCAACGCACGTGTAGACGTTGACAGGGCTGGCTAGGGCATGTGTAAACACAGTTTTGACCCAGGCCTGCTGCTCCCCCCCATCTGCCACTGTGGCCCGGCTTCATATTTAGCTAGTATCACCATAAATCCCAGCACCCTGCCAGGCTCCCTAAGTTGCCTCCATCCTCTCTAAAAGCCACTCCCATGTCTTGTGACAAATGCAAACAAAATCCCTCCAACTTAATATAAACTATAACCCCTGGGTACCTTTGACCCAAAACTCTACAGCCTTTCCCCAGTGAACTCCTTTCCCTTCTGTGTCCAGGGCGAAAATGTGTCCCCAGCCCAGGAATGAAGCTCAAAGAGCTCTAGACTCTGCTCCCTTCCCATCACGAGCATTTTAATTCTCATATCAGGCACAGGGGTAGTCATCACCAGGGATCCTGGTTTTCCATGATAAAAAAAATCACAAATTCTCTGACAAAAAATTGCAAATGCTCTGATAAAAATCCCAAAATCCGTGGTTAAGATTAAATGCTCCCCAAAGCCCTGTTTGTGCCACTTGCCCTCCACCCACTGCCCCTACCTCCCAGCCCTGCTGGAGGGCACCCTCAGCTGCCATAGCTATGGGGCCAGGGACCCAGGTCCACAGCCCCCTGCCCCCAGTGGAAGGCAGCGGCTGCTACAGCAGGAGCAGGAGCTGGCTCCTTCCCTGCTGCTTTCCTCTGCAGGCGGGGGCAGCAGTGAGGGGCACAGCCCTGCACTGCCCCCATGCACACATGGAAGTGTAGCCAGGGCAGTGCAGAGCTTGCAGCACCAGGCAGCTTTCATGCACGGCCCTGCTGTGCCCTGCCGCACCAGTCGCACACGCTGCTCTCTGAAGGGCCTGGGGGAGGGCAGCAGGGCAGGGAGTGTGACCCAGGGTTTGCAGCTGGCTGGGCACTCCAGCCGGGGGATGCGGGGCTTGCAGTCTCCCTGCTCCTGGCCGGAGTGCCTGGCCGGCTGCAAGCCCCACCTCCCGGCCAGAGAGTGCCCAAGCCAGCTGAGGAAGCGGCTCCCCCTCCCCCTCCCCCGGCTGGAGTGCCCGGCCGGCTGCAAACCTCCCCTATCCCTCAGCCCCTAGCCAGTTTCCCATCCAGCCCTGCAAACCCCAAGCCCCACTTATCTCCAGCAAGAAGTGTGAGCCTGAAGCAGCTTCCGGTAAATGCAAGCATCGGGCCCCGCTCTTCCCCCTCTCCCTTCCCCTCCGGGCAGGATTGGGGGTTTCCTGCCCCTTTTGCAAACAGCTTTTATAGGCTGGAACTCTTCCAGCCTGCAGAGCTCTTTGCAAATGGGGGAAATCTGCAGGTTTCTCTTCTAAAAGGGAAAATCTGTGTTTTCTCTGATAAAAATGGGAAATTCGTGGTTTTCTCTATTTTTCCATGGGAAACAGAAAACCCGGATCCCTGATCATCACTATCAGGAGCCTGGAGTTCTGCAACAACCCTGCAACTGCTCTCTCCAACTTTGCAGAACCTGCTTTTAGCTCTCCTCCAGTTGCCTATATCACCATATAAGTAATGGGGGTTACCTTAGGCCCCTGCTACACAAAGTAAAAAAGTATGAATAATAATTGAATTGCCTTCAAAACAGATTTTAGTGCAATTCTAATGGTAATAATGATATGTCAGAAATCAGAAGCAAGAACTTGTAAAACAGGATCCTACCAAATAAACTGGTTCAAGAAAGGGAGGAAAGTGGATCTGGCAAACTACAGGCCCATCAGCCTGACCTCTATCCTGGGCAAGATCTTAGAAAAGATTATTAAAGAGACCATTCTTAACAGACTGGCCAATGGCAACATTCTGAGGGATAGCCAGCACAGGTTTGTTGCAGGTAGGTCTTGCTTGACCAATCTTATTTCCTTTTACAACCAGGAGACCTATCACCTGGATAAGGGAGGGGAGATTGATGTCACATATCTTGACTTCAAAAAAGCCTTCAATCTGGTATCCCAAGATCACCTCTTGGCAAAACTGGCCAACTGCACCTTTGGGGCCACCACGATCCACTGGCTAGGGAACTGGCTCTATGGTCAGACCCAGAGGGTGGTGGTTGATGGAAGACAATCGTCATGGTGCCCTGTGACCAGTGGGGTCCCCCAAGGCTCTGTTCTTGGACCTATATTGTTCAACATCTTCATTAATGATGTGGACACTGGAGTCAGAAGCGGACTGGCCAAGTTCGCCGATGAT